AATGACCCTGAACAGTGAGACCCTACTTCCCCCTCCCCCACTTAACACACAGAAAGCAAGAGAAACAACTTCCAGGGAGCTCTTGGAAAGCATGTGTTCAAGATAACAGAGGCACCAGCATCGTGTGACCCAAATGACTGTGTGGGGCAGATCCTCTCCAGCTGACCATGAACATTTTTGAGCTCTTAGGTAAGCAGCAATAAAGTTCAATTCTGTTTCAGCCATTATATGCTTAGGGGTCTACTTGAAAACAGTCTAGACTGCCCTACTATACCACTCATCTTAAAGTTAGTCTTCTTCTTTTTCCCTTTTCAGTTGCCAGAGGGTGCATGCACACACCAGGGAAGTAGAAAGAGAGAAAGGGAGGGAGAAAGCATGCCTTTATGGGGAATGGTCACACCATAATCCACTGTCCTCCATTTCTCCATCCTGTTGGGATTTGGGGCATGCACACATATGTTCAGTGTGTTTTTCAAGCTGCTGGGGCTGGAATTTGAACTATGGTGTGTCATGTGGAATCTGGCACCCTTAACCACTAGGCTGTGGGTTGGCTTCACTGTTGACTCCTTAATATTTATTTCTGTATCAACAGTCCTGCCAATTTTATATACTGAGTCAGACCTTCAAAAGCATCCCTTTCCCTTAGGGTAGAATCCCAACCTGTAATCTGTGAGACAATGTAAGATCTAGTCTCTGCCTACTCTTACTGCACTTCCTCAGCCTCACATCATGCCATTGTCTTCTCTGCTCTCTATATTACGGTTGCCCCCGCCATATTTCACTTCTTTAAATGCAGCACATTAATTCTACATCAGGCCCGTTGCACACCGACTCCCTCCATTCCTGATCCTTTATCTCCTACTGAGCTTTCTGGACTCTTCTCAATAGAGAACAAGTGTGGGAGTGGTACAGTGGGTCAGATTACCTTCAAGAAAAGAGCCAATCATCTCATTGCTTACTGTTTTTTATGCTTAAGGATTGAGAAGCTTTTCTGGCAGTACATTTTAAAAGTTGAAAGCATGTATGTGCAAAAAGTTATTTAATGGAAAAGTGCTACTAAGTCTGTCCAGGTAAATTATGTAATATTCTTAATATTTTTTTTCTTTAGACAGGTCTCACTGTCATGATCTTCCGGCTTCAGCCTCCCTGAGTTGTTAGGATTACAGGCATGTGCTACTGTACCTGGCCTTTACGTTGGGCTGGAAATCCAACCTGGGCCTCCCTCATGGTCCCAACCTACAGAACACAGCATCTTAGCAGTGCATGCAGCTGTGACTGAGTCTATGCAATGTTTTTTAAATAGAGTATTATATAACTATTCAAATTATGCTTATGACACAAATGTTTATCATTGGGTAAACAGAAAGCAGGATAAAATGTAATGAGCAAGGAAATATGCTAATACACTGTTCTATCTTGAAGAGTAGATTTTGAATATGTTCTTTTCTTTCCTTTTGGTCTTTTAAATATTTTTTCATATTGTCCAAAATTTCTGTAATAGTTCAGTATGTTATAAGAAAAAAATGGGGGCCAGCAAGTGCATAGAGGTTAAAGCACTAGACTCCCACACAGCCAACTTGAAACTTATGCAGGGTGCGTATGTGTGCAAGCCCAAATTCTGAGAGGAGAATGGAGGAGAAGGGATTGCAGCATGGCCACCCTCCTGGGGGTGGGGGTGATTTCTCACTTTCTCTCTCTCTCTTTGTTTCTGTCAACCCAGTGAGTGCATGTGCCCTATAGCAAAAATCTCTCTCAAAAACAAAGACAAGTGGCTGGCAGGTGGTATGGTGGTTAAGGGCACAGGAATCCCATATGGCTGACCATGGTTTGTGTCCCCGACCTGGTGGCTTGCTTTCTCACTTTTTTCCCTCTCTCTCTCTTACTCTGTTCCTCTCTGGTCAAATTAAAATAAATAAATAAAAGTTAAATAAAATAATTCTTAAAAAAAATAAGAAGGACAAAAAACTGTATCTATAGGTTCCAGCAGATGGCGTAATGGGTACGTTTGCTGGATTCCCATGTAGTCGAACACAGTTCGAGTCCTGGACCCGGTGACTTAAACTGTTGCTACCGTATGTGTATGCCTACTCAAAATCCTAAGAGGAGAATGAAAAGGAAGGGATTGTGGCATGGCCTCCTCCTGGGAGGTGATTTCTTGCTTTCTATCTTTCTGTCTCTCTGACAAGCACGTATACTCTATAGCAAAAATCTCTCTTAAAACAAAGAAGAAAACCCCCTGTATCTACAAGTCACAAATCACACTGTATTATAATTATGTATTTTGTAATTTATCTTATTCTTTCCTGACTGTGAGCTTCCTAAAAGTTATTCTTGAATTATTCATCTATGTCTCCTAAGATAAGGAGACATCTGATCTAACCTGGATTAGAAATTCAATAAAAAGTTGCCAGATGAATAATACAAATGAATTTGACATGAAGTCCTTTAAGCAGGCCCTTATGGAGTTCCATTTCCCTGCTAATTTATCAGAGCCTGGTTGCTAATTTTTAAGCTAGTGTATTGTGAGCCACTGGTGATGTTACTCGAATTTAGAGAACTTTACTCAATCAGTCAGGACGTCACTAAGCTCTCTGACCAGAGACAGGGTAGAGATGACCAAGAACAGGGAGTCTTAAGACTATTTACAGCAAGGAAGTAGAAGCAGTTCCCTCTTTCATTTAGCATTACTATTACTAAATACTAAGCTAATTTTTTTTTGAGAGGTTTTTGATATAGTGCGCGTTTGTTCACCAGAAAAACAGAGAGAGACAGAGACAGAAAGTGAGAAATCACCTCCCAGGGGGGATGGCCATGCCGCAATCCCTTCTCCTCCAGTCTCCTCTTGGGATCTTGGGCATGCACACACATGTGCCTGGCATAAGTTTAAGCCATCAGGTCCGGGACTTGAACTGTGGTCAACTACATGGGAGTCCAGTGACATAGCCATTATGCCAGTTGCTGGTCCCATTAAGCTAAATATGAAGCTGTCAGTATTTTGACTGGAAACTCAGTTCAAGGATGATTGTGTCTAGCAAACTCACTGTATAATCGAAAGCAGGCTTTTCTCCACCCACTTTGAATAAACATCTGAACAAAAGACATAATGACAAAGACACAAAAACCAGGATCAACACAAATGGTTCTATGGGTAAAAGTAAAAATAAAGACTGTAATGTCATAGCCAGGCAAAACATGAATATAACTGCTTAGGATCTCCTCATAAGGTTTCTTAGTGAGTCTCGGGATGAAACTCAGGAGACTGGGCCCTAGGTGGCACAGAGGAGTGGGCTAAGGCTTGTTTTGGTGTCTGAGGCTCTTCGTGGTAAATATTGCCTGCTTGGTTTTCTGCTTCTATCATTCTCCTTCAAATGCCCCAGTTTCCTGTTTTGCTCTCTTTCTTCTCCAATCCTTTTAATCCTACTAATTCCAGCTCTCAAGAAGAGGCACACGCGTGGCCCATCCTATCTCCAAGTGCTGTTCATCTCCAATGCATGTGTTCGTTGTGATGAGGTGGGGAGTGACTGCTCTGCGGGAATGGCCTATAGCACCACTCGTCTTTCCATGGGGGCAGCTCATTCATGGGAAGCTTTGCTAGGGGTTTGGTCTCTCCCTATCTAGGTGTTCAGGGCCCAAAGTGATTGGGTTCTAGAAGTGTTCATCGATGAGGCTGATGCACAGGCCAAGAGAAGCTTTACAAAGGGGAGTCCACTCACAATTACACAGATAGACTTTTATTTCAGGTATCCCGAGGCTGTCAGCATATTTCAGAGAAATCAGACCTGTCTTTCTTAAGAAACAACAGGACCTAGAGTAATACTGTCTTCCAACTTACTCTAAAGTGGATTTTCTGGCCTTTATTTAAAAGTCGAGGTAAAACTTTTGATGATGGGCGGAGATCTAAGATGAAGCCACTCTCAGAGCAGGGCATGCTAGGGCCTGTCCATTCTGCAGACAGGTGAGAAACTTGGTTTGGGAGCAGACACACTGCAGGAGGGTATATCTGATGAGGGCACCAGGGGACTATAGCTGTGCACTGGCGTAAGAGCCATTCATTTCTTCATTCTATTGCAGGAGTGAAATCTCAAGGGTAAACATCACACATGAATGGTCTACAGGAAGGGACATAATAGCTGGCTTTGTTGTGCTGTATGTCAGAGTTTTTTTTTTTTAAATTAAAGATAAATACCTTTGTAAAGAATATTACCAGCCTGTATTGCCCTCTGCCCCTCACTTCAATGTGACTTCCCGGTTACTGTTGGCCTTAGCCTGTAGTGCAACTCCTAACAGTGAATGTTCTCAGTAATGATTCCTGTGAACTTCTGAGGTGAGTAGCTCCAGGTTCCTACGGACCTCACCTTTGCCCTCTCTCATGCTCATCTTTCCATCACCACAGCTCTGACTTTAGGCCTCCATTACTTTTCCTCTAGACTACTACGACACAGTTCCCTTCTTTAATCCATTTTATGTACAAGTGGCTTATTCTTCTGGAAGCATGGCTCCTTAACATTACTCTCTGCCTGCCTTTGTCTAGCTCCTTGGCCAGGTATTGAAGGTCTTCCATGGCCTAGTTACAACCACCTTAGTAAAGTCTGAGCCTTCCATATCATTTTGCACTCTGGGTTCTGCCCAGACCCAGGCTCATGCTCTTCTCTGTACAGTTTGAGGCTCTCCTACTTTCGTGAATTCCCTCACACACTTTTATCTACTTGGAACTCTTTGCCCGCACCCTTATATGTTCATATTTTATCAGTACAGAAGACTGAGATTAAGAAAACAAAAAACGCTTCTCTCACCATATCTGTTCCCATCAGAATTAATCTTTCCTCTCCTAAATTTTGCTAGCACTTTCTATTATCAGAGTGACTGAGATTCTTGCTTTAGTTTTATTATTAGCAGTGAATCCCTACACAGAATTTGTACATAATTTATTGTACCCTCCAGCCTATCACAGGGTTCCATTAATATTTGAATGAAAAGAACACAAAAAGTGCGTTTCTTACCTGCGACTTGGCAGTTAATTGTCACATTCACTCCCTGCACTGTTTTGATGGTGCTTCCGATATCGACTGTGACTGCAGGCTTCTCTGTGTTGATGACAGTCGTTCGTGATGCTTTCACTAGTGGCTTTCCTAAAGATGAGAAATAATATGATTCATTAAGAGATGGCTCCTATGGACTCAGGGAATTCTTTTAAAACTTTTCATAATCAACAATGAATGGCTGATGGCTGATCTACTCAAGCTTTTCCTACCACATATGCTTTCTCTTGGAAAAAATGTAACTGCAAAATATAAAGCCATCCAATCCCTATGGATCTACCATAGAGCTGTCAGAAAAAGAACAACGATCGGAGAATCCTAAGACAGTGCATAGTATACATATTGGGATGCTTTTTGCATTATTTTTATCACCAGAGGATGTGTGTGCACATAAGAGAGAAAGGGAGAGAGAGAGAGACATGGGAGGATGGCGAAAGAGACAGACAGGAGAGGGGAAAGAGAGAGAGAGAACCCTCAATGGTTGTGTGTTCATGCCGCAATCCTTTTTCTTCCATTTCTTTACCCAGTTAGAATTTGGGCATGCACACACACACATGCCAGGCATGTTTCTCTAGGTGCTGGGATTTGAATAGCAAGCAACCATGTGGAATCCAGCTCCCTATGCACAGTGTTTAACTCCTTTCCTATGGGGCTGGCCTGATTTATGCATTTTAACCAGTAAATTAACCAGTGACCCTATGTGTTACATGTTTAAGGGTTTACTTTTGTTAAACTAATCTTTTTACTTTGAAATAATTATCGATTTGCATGCAATTATAAGAAGCAATATAGAGCAATTCTGTGCAACCTTACCTAGTTTCCCATAAAGGAACATCTTACAAAACTGGAGTACAACATCGTGGCCCCAGTACTGACTGACGTTGATAAGGTTAGACCACTGAGCACTTCCATCATGAGGATCCCTCCTGTTGCCCTAGTTTCTCCTTAACCCTTTGGCAATCATTAGTATGGTCTCCATTTCTTTTTCTTTTTCTTTTCTTTCATTTATTTTTCATTTATTTATTTTTTTAGAGGTTTTTGCTATAGGGCACATGCACTCACCAGAAAGACAGAGAGACAGAGAGACAGAAAGGAGAAATCAGCCCCCGGGGGGATGGCCACACTGCAATCGCTTCTCCTCCATTCTTCTCTCGGGATGTTAGGCACGCATGCACACGCACCCAGTGTGAGTTTAAGCCACCGGGTCCAGAACTTGAACCATAGTCGACTACAAGGTAGTCCAACGACATAGCCATTATGCCAACTGCTGGTTCCATCCATTTCTATAATTTTGTAATTTCAAAAATGTTACATGAATGAAATCATAGAGCGTGTAACCTTTTCTGATTTTTCTTCTTCAAACACAGAATAATTCTCTGGAGAGTCTCCCAGATCTCATGTGGTGTGATTACATGTATCAACTGATTTTTCCCTTCACTGCGGAATACCATGTACTCCATGTATGAGTGCATCATACATGAAGTTTGTTATCCATTCATCTCTTGAAGGGCATCTGGGTTGTTTCCAGGTTATGACTGTTACAAATAAAGCCACTTTTAATGTTCCTGAACAGGTGTCTGCGTGAAAAGCAGTCTTCCTTTCTCTAGGGTAAATGCCCAGGGGTGCAATTCCTGGGTCACATGTTAGGTGCAGCTTTAGGTTTTTTAGTAACTGCTGAACTCTTTTTCAGCGTGTCTACCTGATTTCATGTTATCACTAGCAACACATCAGTGACCTAGTCTCTCTGCTTCCTTGCCAGCATTTGGTGTTGTTACTACTGGGTCATTGGTCTAGGTCCCCCTCCCCCATGTGGTCTCCTCATTTATGGTGGGATGAAAATCCTCATCTTCTCAGTCACCACCTACATGGGGATTTGGGTATCTCAATCAGCCTGGCCAGGAGGTAAGTCTAGGTCCACTACTTGGCCTCTGCTCAAGTGGGCGGGCTGGACCACAGTGCTTCCTGTTCTGGCTCCACCACTGGTCCTTGTTAGAGAACAGGCTCTCAGATGGGGCTTTTTTTGGAGGGGAGGGAAAGGGAAACCTATTAGTATTTCCTGGTAGCTGGCTTCTTCAGCTCCAAGTTTGGGATTTATGAGGCAAAAAGAAAACCTAGCCAATTTCCTCATTTTCCAAGGCCTTTAGTCAGTATGCCTTTTTCTCTCCACTTTTCAGTCTTCTATTTACACATAATGAACAAGGTTTTTTAGCTATACTTTGCAGGAAGAAGAACTAAGTACAACTAAGCAATTAATGTCATTTTCCGGGAAGTAGAAGTTCTGTATATATTATGTTTAAATAGACCATTATCAGACGGGGATGAAATACTGCATTTCATGCATGTAACCACAAAAATACAATGAAAAGATTCATTTACTGAGCACCTCGGGGAAATGAGGGTCCACATGAGATCATTTTCCTATGCCTAAAGCTTAATCTTTAGTAAGTCAAATGGATTTAATTTTAACCACCGACAGGCAGGCCACTCTACAACGGCATTCCCTATTCTCTGCCTTCATTAATTGTGAAGAACACCTTAATTCAGAAGTGACCTTTGGAGTTCTCTAGCTGCTTTTTACACTTTTTGGTTTCTTCCTTATCTAGTTACCCTTTATTCCTGTGTACTGTCACACAGCCTCATATTAGAAGCTGCCCCCCCCCCCTTTTTTTTCCTCTTTTCTCATTTTAACTGCCTGGTAGGCACAAGTAATTAAGCTCATTAGAACTATTAGGTCTTCAGGAAAGTCATGACCGTATTTTTCTATGCAAAACTGTGTCCTGATGACCCACTATGTTTAAGGGCAGAAGCCGGAATAAATGTCTGAGGAACTCACCCTGTGAGTGCAGGATCTCCTATCGACCTTGACTGTTTAAGGGCCTTTTCCCTCTTTTCACCTATATCCCATACACTGGAAATTATGTGTGGCCTGATGAGAGGGTGATCTAGATCATGCATAATCATTTGTGAGCATAATCAATGCAGGGCAATTACGGAAGAAAGTATGGAATGGCACTGAGTTGATACTGGCATACTTACCTCCCTGTCCTTTAGAAGCTACCCAGCTCTTACTCCAAAGCCACCCTAAATCTGACTGGCACCTCTGTTTATCATCTCATGCTTCCAACATTTTGGTTGGACGACTGCATAGCCTAAATGGCCTCTCTGCTTCTACTTTGCTCTCACTATACTCTCTTCTTATGATAGCCTGACTGATCTTTCTAGGACATGAGTCAGACCATGAAACTTTTTCTGCTTAAATTTTCCAATAAAATTAGAACAAAATTTCAAGCCTCTTTTTTTTTTTTTTTGAGAGATTTTTCACTGTAGGGCGCGTGCGCTCACCAGACAGACAGAGAGAGACATAGAGACAGAAAGCGAGAAATCACCCCCCAGGGGGGATGGTCACGCCACAATCCCTTCTCCTCCATTCTCCTCTCGGGATCTTGGGCACGCACGCACACGCGCCCGGCGTGAGTTTTAAGCCACCGGGTCTGGGACACGAACCACGGTCGACTACGTGGGAGTCCAGCGACATAGCCATTACGCTAACTGCTGGTTCCCTCAAGCCTCTTTTCATGACCAACTGTCTCCTACACATTAAGCCCCAGTGGTCTACCTCCCAGGCATCACTGAGGCCATGCTCCCATCAATCATTGCTCCAGCACTCGGACCTCTTTCCTTCCTCCAACACAGCACACGCTTGCCCTGGCTTTTCCCTGACCCCGATACCCTCCACCTACAGACTTCTCATGGCTGCTTCTTCTGGTCATTCGGGTCTGTGCAAATAACACCTTCCTACTGAGGCTTTTCCTAACCATCCCACCCAAAACCACCACCCCTTTATTCCCCTGCCAGGCATTATATATCTTATTGCCAGTCTTACTTTTTTTTAATACACTGGACTATCAGAATTTATCTTACATATTTGTGTGTTCTTTAAATCCCTCCTACTGTACCTCACCAAATAACCTCTATAACATCTCTCTGTTCTCTTCAGTACGTTCTCAATATTATCTATTACCTATATTATCTCTTAAGTGAAAGCATATGTGTGCATGATGTGCTATGTGTATTATCTGAATTTTTTTTTTACCCTGAGAGGCAGCAGGTAACATATTACTATATTTTAAATAGACAAAGGGCTTAGGGTCAGAAAGGCTCATGGTTTGTCTCAAGCCACAGAGCTTAAGTGACAGGGCTGTAGTGGATACCAGCTCTTTGACCTCCAGTCTAGCACTTGTTACATGAGGTCCCACATCCTTGTGTGTAGACTGACTGCCTCAGAATCCTCAGGGCACTTGTTAAAAACATAATCTGTCCTGCTCTAATACAAGAGTTGCCTCACTGTGTTGTAAAAACAACTGTGCCAATGGGGAAAATGAGGTTAGGGACCAGAGAGTTTTAGACTCACAATTACCAAGTTATTTTTCCTACAGGAATTTTAATAATAAAGGTGGTTTTTATAGCTGCAAGTGTATAGCTATAAAATTCAAATGTTCCTGAATTAAATCCAGCCCTTAATTAATTATATTGAGCTTTTGCTGAAAAGTAATGGCCCCTTTTCCTGTCAGTAGAGGTGCTGTTAGCACAGGCTACTTACATGTTCTTATTACCTTCATGATCCATTGTTAACACAAAGCACAGTGTTACCAAGTATTTGTAGACAATAGAAATTCATAATGGAAACAATGTTCCTTAATCAATAGCCTCCATATGTCCATTAGAAAAACACTTGTATGCACTTTTAAATCCCTCTCCAAATATACTCTATCTGAATCTCAGGTGGGAATAGGGGTGGAAGCCATATTCTCTATTTTTAACAAGTTCCTAAGTGATTTTACCATACAGATACATATGATATTATACTCTTAGTCTTTCTTTAACTGATTCTTCTGTTTCCTGGGGAGAGATTCCCTTTGAGACACCATTAGTTTCTATTAGAAGTTTTCAAGTTGGTGTTCTTAGTTTAATGGTCAACTAGAAAACAAACAAACAAACAAAAACCCCAAAAAACAAAAACCTTCAGCATAAAATTTGGGATCACCCTGAGAGGCAGCAGGAGAAGGGATTGTGGTGTGGCCAATGCCCTC